TTTGCGTAGGGTAGTTACAATATTGTTTTTAAAAGGCGCTTGTTACGGCGGTGACAGACTACTACACTAACTAGGCTATGTCTCTACAAAAGGATACAAGTAATCGAAGCTGGAAGATTCGATACTCAAATAATCTTATATAGTTGTTTCAAACCGTACATGGTTCCGTATCACGTCAGCTGTTACAACATTATTATAGCTATTTTATAGTAAAAGGCAAGCGCTGAGCCCTCCTCGAAGTGGTAAAAAGTCGCAATAGTTGTAATGGTATTTTAGCAACTATCTAGAATACCCAATCCTAATTGGTTTACACTTGAAAGACGTCCTCTAATTGGCCGGAGCCAGTTCAGAAAAATATTTTTCAGGAGAAGGTAGGGTAGCTTAACGAGTTCTGAGTTCTAACAAGCTGAACTGTATCATCCAAATTTATCGTAGGCTTCGGGGGTTAACAGCTGCTCCCTTCTCGTTTTCGGTGACCTCTCTGCCAGACAGCCTCGCTCTTCTCGGCATTATCCGAAAGCCACAGTCTCTGCCGGACTCTTTGTTTAGCGCGTCGACGGGATAGTTAAGCCCTAGAAAGCTTGGCATGCCGGACCCTATGCGGAGAGCCCCATCGTCAAAGGCTTGTCTTTCGAGGCCGACTTCTGGAGGTGTGAATCCCCTCATTTGCCCCTCGACTATCGTTTCGCTGCATCATTCTTGAGGAGTCCTCCCAGCCCGAACAAGTGAACTGGGCAGCCCTACGAAAACCGGAGTTCATGCTCCGCCTCTCCACCCGTCATGATTTGCTCAAAGCCCACAATGAGTGACATTGCAGGAAATATGAAGTTATTCCCAACGTCGTTTGTCCACTTTCGCCATCTTGATGTAAGGCTTTGGAGCAAGCCTATCCTATGCCCGGACGGACTCTGAATCTAGACCGTGCATCAAAGCCTTCCCCATGCCCTTGTTAGCTCCGGCCCCGTTCGGGATGCCGTCCTAGGGAGGAAGGTGAATGGTCCGGCGGTCGAGAGGCTTCTGGCGTTGTTACCCTAATCTCCCTAGTGAGGCAATTTCGACTTTTTCTCGTTGAGTTTTTGGTACTATATCGCACGGAAGCCGACATATCGGTGATGGAAGCCGAAGGAGAAAGTGAAACCAATTGTTTGTAGTCCAAGATTGCGCAATTGTCGATATGTTGGGGAACATGACATCGCACGGTCCCCGATCATGTCCAGGCCCGCACCGCACTCCGGCTCTTCCACTTACACTGTCACGAAACCCCCCTTCTTGCCGAACGCCTCCGAGAGAAGGCACTTTTGATACCCCGCCATGGTCCCCTGATTTTATCCTGTGCTCGCCTTTAATAGCCAGGGGCCGAAGCCGTAACGCGACGTCTTTTGTTGGGGTACATATATAAGGGTGCGATCGAGATCGAGAAAGTGATGCAATACCTTTTTTGATGCCGCTCCCCCTCCTCTCGTTGCTTCGGTTGTGGTGCTAGCTTCGAGAGAGCTCAAGGCCCTGCGTCATTAGACGACATACCTCTACCGGATGGCGGGTAAGTGAATCCTTTTTGATAGGGTGTTCGTTGTCATTCGTATGTTGGTTGCAGCTACCGTGACAGTTGCTTTGATATGCGTGAGGGTATGGT